TAGTGCAGAAACGTAGCCATATTTCGATGGATGATGCATATTGCTTCTTGGTACTCGGTCTCCATGATTGGAGGATAATGTCAATAGTTTCCTTCGAAAATCCTCTTGATCGGAGCGACTGCTGGATAAGAGTGAAGCACACATTGTCATTCGGCCCTCTAGTGGATGGCGACTGTGTGGATCGTGTGGTAGTCTCAACAACCCGGATGTCTTTAGTAGTGTTACTGGCGTAGCTATCAACAGGCGCAGCATTCTGGGAAACCAATGTTGGGTTTGCCATAATGGGAATATAAGCATTCCCATGGCTCCGTCTACCTCGATTTTCTGCAATACCCTGTCAATGACAGCAAAAGGAGGAAATGCGTAAAATATTTCGTTCGCCCAAGACATTGTAAACGCATCACATGCAACTGCCTCTGGGTCAGGCAGCCATGACACAAATGGCTTAAATTGATAATTGGCTTTGGACGCAAATAAATCAATACTTGGTGTGACACCCAATGTTGATATGATTTTGTTAAAAATATTGGCATCTAGTTTCCATTCCAGATTATCCTTAAAGGATCGTGACAAGGTGTCTGCACAAGTGTTTTGTACACCAGGTATGTGGCGTGCAATCAACCAAATGTCATGTTGGATGCACCAAAACCAAATTTGTCTGGCCAAGTCATTCAGTTCAGCTGAATGACAACCTCCCATGTGGTTTATAAATGAAACTCCTGTGACATTGTACATTGCAATGGACACAGTTCTGTTCTGAATGTCAGTTTGAAATGACTTTAGAGCATAAAAAACCGCAAGGAGTTCTAGATAGTTAATATGAAACCTTACTTCATGCAAATTCCAACGGCCATTAGTTTGAATGTTAGCCTTTGGACAAGAGGCTCCCCAACCCATGAGGGAAGCATCAGTAAACACTTCGATGTCTGTTACACGGGGTAATATTGGTCGAAAAGTACATGGTAAATTTTGTATCCACCATTGCAAATCGGACTTACTGCTTGCAGTGAGAGGCATTTTGGCCCCGTAATTTCCATGACATTTTTTCAGAGCGATGTTTTTGCTCACTTCCAAACTTCGGTAATATAAAGGCCCAAGTGGGACCGCTGGAAAACATGACACAAGTTTTCCTATGACCTGTGACACCCGATGAATTGTCGGGTTTGACTGTCCTATGAGTTCATGGCATGCCTCAACCGTGGTTGATAATTTGCGTGTCGGTAAACGCACTGTCATTTCTACTGAATTAATGGTGAATCCCAAAAACTCCAATTCTTGGACTGGGGTAAAGTGTGATTTTGATTGATTAATCACAAACCCAAGTTCATTTGTCAGTGCACAACGAGCTGCAATGTTACTGGTGCATTCCTGTAATGTGTCACCAATAAGTAATGAATCATCAATATAATTTGCCGAAATTTGGCCAGCATTACGTAATGTTGATGTGAGTGGTTTCATGACCTTTGTAAAGATACGAGGTGCACTAGCAAGCCCAAAGCATAAGCATTTAAATTGCCACAGTTTATCTCGCCATTGAAACCGTAAGAACTTCTGATGTTCCTGGGCCATGGGTATCGTAAAATATGCATCCTTCAAATCTATTGATGCTAAATAGCAGTTTGTCCGAATCAATGTCAGTGCAAATTCAAAGGTCTCCATTTTAAAATGGTGATATTTGACAAATTTGTTTAGAGCTTTTAGATTGATAATTGGTCTCATTGAGCCGTCTTTCTTTGGTCGAAGAAAAATGTTGGACAAAAATTGTCCGTGACAGGGGTTGACCCTGATAATCGCTCCTTTTTCTTGTAATTTTTGAATTTCTTCGTCAATCAGTTGCGCCTCCGGGTCAGAGTATTGAATAAGCTTAGGTTCATGTGCCTGGACCGGAGTGCGATTAAATTCGATATGGCAATGTGCAACTGTATCTAGCACCCATTCATCAGAGGTTATGTTTTCCCAAGCAGGGATAAACTGTTGCAATCTTCCAGCAATAGGTGATGTATACTTACTTACCAACTGTAATGGTGCCGCTAGGTCACCGTTTTCTTGGCTGTCGAGGCCCCGGTGCTGGTGGATTGGCTTGGGGTTTGGTGGTAATTGCCACTGCCATGACCGCTGCTGCCGCCGGAACGGTAATAACCCTGGCCCTGACTCTGAGCTCGACGATAGTAGCCTCGGCCTCTCGGGTAATAAGGCGCCCTCTGGTGGCTGCCGTAATGCTGTTTCGGGAAACCCCGTGAGCGAAAGTCCCCGCACGGTGGGATGATCCACGGCCTGAAAACTGTCTAGTATTACGACGTTTGGGGTCATTTACAAACATCTGTGAACTTATTTTGTTTGTCTCCACTATAGTTTTGCATGACTGAACTAAGTCATCCCCGAAAAGGAGACTAGTGCACGGGACTTGCGATGAGCACAAGGCCGCATATTTTTGGTTGAGATCAGGTCGGATACTGTCTCTTCTGCGCAAGTTGAGTTGGGCGTTGCCCGAGCCAAGTATGGCAATTGCGTCAACCAGCATTCTAATCAGCTGAGCTGTATCAATAGTCTCATTGTTATTTCTGGCTTTTAGCATTTGATCAGCGGCCATTGCGATGGCTATTGATGCCCGTACAAAAGAGCTTTGCACCTTTTGGAATTTAACATCCCTTGCACGTGTTGTGGGTTTTAGGATTGACCATATCTCAGGGTTCACTCTAGTTAGGCAAAGATTACCGCAGTTGCTTGGTTTGTTGTATTTGCCCAATTTTTCTTCTAGTTTTTCTGGCTTTATCTTGCCTTGAGCAAGTGCATTTACTGTTTTAGCCAATTGGTCATTTAGGGCTGAACTTTCTTTTTCGTCACCCTCAATTAAGGCCGCCATTTCGGTCAGCAAGTCATCCTGGTTGCCAGTATCGCACAACAGGTTATCTAAATCACCTTCAGTGAAAGTGTCTATGCCCTTTTCAGGTACATGTACATAACTATTGCCAGCAATTACGTTGTCATTGCCCGTTTCTGGTGCAAGGTTTAATGCCACCAAATTATCATCAGGGATTTCACCCTCGCTTAATATTTCCTCAGTTGGAAAGCGGTTTGCGTAATGGCTAGAACCGGCGGAATCGCTGCGGTGCAAAAACGCATTTGTCAAAGTAGCAACTGTTTGCTGCAAGCTAGAAACTGCTTTGTGCAAGTCTGAATCGTCGCTGCTAGTTTTCTTCGCGGCACTAGGCGGCTCGTTCAGGGTGCATGAATTTGCTTGATCTATATTCTTACGTTTAGCAGTTCGCTTCTTGGCTTTAGCTGCTGGCGCCGGTGGCGTTGGTTTGCTTAAAGATGAGCATGCAGTCTCCGCTATTGGTAGCTGCGTGAGAAATGACAACTCGTCATCCAGTTGACCCATTAGGCCCTCGTCTTCCGAGGGGTACACACCTGTAAATCGATCCGCCAAGCTCATGAATAAAAGTTATACCCTCAAAATATTCTATATTAGAGAGTTCTGAGCGCCGTAAAATTGGGGAATTGAAGAGATATGGTAGTGAACCTCTAGCCCGGACTTGGGGCTTCCAATTCTGAGCATTTTGGATGCTATTGGGCTCGAAAGTGGCGCTATTTTGCCATGTTGTGGAGGGATCGTTTTTCAAGATGGCTACTTTTCCGCTTTGGGGAAAATAGGTGTCGTCTTCTTTGCGTGAAAATATCTCGAAAAGTCAATGGTCAACCCACCATAAATTGAAAAGAAAATGAAAGATGACACATTGATCATCATTTTTCTGTGCAGCTTGAATACCTGTGAGAGTTTTGAGTATTTTTAAAAGAATTTTGAAGTACGGGCATTTAGCACTAGTGTCTATGGGAGTTTATTTGCAGGTATGCACCCTATAAAGAATCACAAAGATGGCCGTTTCGCGCATGCGCTGTGCCGCGGCAGTGGTCTTTTCAGTGGGCGGAACCTACGGGGAGGGGGAAAAAGTGTTTTAAAGGTATCAACAAGGGTTTTTTGCCGTAACGGATGCTTCCAAATCATTAGGGAGCAGTAGGCTATCACCCGATTACAACAATTGATACTTGAAAAGGGGGGGGGGGGCATTTTGAGCTTAAAAGTAGCTGGAACTCAATTTATTGTCGCTGGGGGCGCTCTACAGCTTAGCAGGGGCAAAACAATCACTATTTTCGGGCTTAATATCTACCTCGGATAATATTTTTCTTTCATTTTTTTTTCTCAAAATATTGACTTTGGAGATATTCTGCTTGTCCTGAATGTGATTTTGTGTTAAAATTTAAAAGTTGCCTGCTATTATAGGGTACACACCTGTAAATCGATCCGCCAAGCTCGTGAATAAAAGTTATACCCTCAAAATATTCTATATTAGAGAGTTCTGAGCGCCGTAAAATTGGGGAATTGAAGAGATATGGTAGTGAACCTCTAGCCCGGACTTGGGGCTTCCAATTCTGAGCATTTTAGATGCTATTGGGCTCGAAAGTGGCGCTATTTTGCCATGTTGTGGAGGGATCGTTTTTCAAGATGGCTACTTTTCCGCTTTGGGGAAAATAGGTGTCGTCTTCTTTGCGTGAAAATATCTCGAAAAGTCAATGGTCAACCCACCATAAATTGAAAAGAAAATGAAAGATGACACATATTGATCATCATTTTTCTGTGCAGCTTGAATACCTGTGAGAGTTTTGAGTATTTTTAAAAGAATTTTGAAGTACGGGCATTTAGCACTAGTGTCTATGGGAGTTTATTTGCAGGTATGCACCCCGAGGGGTTAATATGCAATATGGCTTCATCTGCCATTGCTACACTACTGGCCACGCTCGTGGTCCAACTTTCAATGTGACTGGCTAGAGCGCTGCGTGAAAACGCACCGATGTACACGCGATATAGCCACTAAAAATACACTGGAGAGCATGCCTGTGGCTGGGCCTTTTATAGGGGCACGCAGGCAGGAATTGCATTCTTTTCTTTCAATTGTGGCATACCTTTAGCTACTAAACAATACAATCTCACGTGAGTCGGAATGGAGGTAATGGTGAGGTAGAATCACGTGCGTAATAAGCATAATGCGGCGACGACTGGTTCCCGCCGCGCCGCGCAGGGGCCAATTATGAAAATGCGGTAACTAGTCTGTGCACGGCTATGCGATCGTTAGCGCTATAGCATGGCTATGCAGGCGCAGGCACGTGCTCTGTCAACTGGTCGGACTCGATATCGAAATGCTGAGAATGACATGCCAAGAAAACACCGATGGAGAACGAACATTTTTGCAAGTTAAATCACAGATTTGATCTAGCTTGTCTGTGTATGTATTTTCCGTGTTCAAGAGTTCATTTTGAGATCGCACTACTCGTATTTGGAGTGATACAATGCAGCGTGTTTCCTGAAATGTTCGACCCGTTGGCCGCGGGCCACACATGTACATGTACAGTGCATCCATGGAGAAATTTCTCCATGGTGCATCACACACTTCGGAGTTTTGGCCAGCTCCCCTTCTTGACTAGCGTTGTGCCTATGTGCCTACCTCCATGGTGCGAACGACCTGAATTTCCCACAATTTTTTTTACGAATTATCGAACGTAAATATATTGACAATAATTAAGGTAGGTTTTATTCACTTTTTGTGGCCATTTTGTGTATAGCTTTTGTAGTGCAATGGAAATAGTTCAGGCTAAAACTTCGCATATAATTGAATACCCCATTCAATCTGCATAAAAAAAATTGGCAAAAAAAAATTTCCGACCGACCGAACCTATTTTTGAAAGGCATGTAATCGGAAGCAGAACTATTCTTTTTTTTGGCCTTAGGTGTAATAATATCCAATTTTTTGAGAAATTTTTGATAGATTCAGGAGCATGCATCCGTCAATGTGTTAGACTCCAAATCCTTTGATCTCCTTCGAAGTAGTGGGCAGACACTCAAAAGACGAAAAGCTACTTCCAGAGTATTTGTCTATGGTACAAATACACCCCTACCAGTGCTAGGTGTTATCGAAGCCGAAGTAAGAGTCGGTACCCAACTCTTGCTCTACCGAGTTCCACATTGTCAACACACACAGTTGCAACCTGCTATCTTTCGCAACAGCGAAACAACTCGAGCTGATATCCCTCAATGCAGACCATGTAACCTGCAACCTCCAACCAGATCAGCCACAGCGACCACCAACCGCCACTGCCATGACACATGATCAGATAATGCAGCAGTATGGCGACTTGTTTTCTGGCATCGCGAAAATCAAAGATGTCAAGATCTCTCTTCAGATCGACCCTGACGGGAAACCAAGACAAAATTCCAGTCAGCCGTGGCACAACTTCTTACTGGCCTGAGTGGATGCAGGAATGTATCAGACGACATTTTTGTCTACGGCAAAGATCAACAAGAACACGATAGAAACCTGAAAGCAGTTCTTGACAGACTCCAGAGCCACAACGCCAGACTGAACAAGAGCAAATGCAAGTTTGCACAACCAGAACTTAAGTTCTACGGACACACGTTCAGCGGAGATGGCATCACACCAGACCCAAAGAAAATTGAGGCCCTCATCAATGCAACACCCCCCAAGAATGCCAAAGAAGTCAAGTCTTTCCTCGGGTTAGCATCATATGTCTCACGATTCATCCCCAACTATGCAACGGTCACTAACCCCCTTCGCGCCCTTACCCATCAAGACTCCAAGTGGAAGTGGGAGCAGGAGGAAATCTCAGCATTCAACGAACTGAAAAGTATCCTGACAAACACGAATGTCATGGTGTACTTTGACCCTCCCAAACCGACAGACATCATCGTGGATGCAAGTCCAGTTGGACTAGGCGCAATGCTGTCACAAGATGGAAAGATCGTCTCATACGCCAGTCGTACACTGTCAGATGTAGAATCCAGATATTCACAAACAGAGCGTGAGATGCTAGGAGTGGTCTGGGCCGTCGAGCGTTTTCACCTATACGTCTTTGGTGCCCATTTTCGCATAATCGTAGACCACAAGCCTCTCCTTGGAATCTTCAAGAGCAGCAGGCCAACTTCTGCCAGAATTGATTGCTGGCGACTGCGTACAATGTCATACGACTGTACGTGACATTGTGTACAAGCCGGGAAAGGATGACGAAAACCCAGCTGACTTCATCAGTAGACATGGTAGACACCCCGGATCCCAAGCTCCTAACAAGTCAGTAGCAGAAGACTACATAAACTACATTTGTAACAATGCAGTCTCAAAAGCTCTAACTCTAGAGGATGTCCGTGCTGAAACAGCAAAAGATGGCACCATGCAGAAACTGATGACAACCATCCGATCTGGAAAGTCACACGATTGGGATGATGTAGACATGCGTCCATACAAACCAGTTCGAAGCGAGCTTACAATCTGCAATGGTGCAATCCTGAGAGGAAACCACTTAACGATTCCCGCATCCCTGCAGCCCACCATCATCGAGTTGGCACATGCCAGTCACCAAGGAATTGTCAATTAGACTAAGGGCCTCTTCAGAGAGAAGGTTTGGTTTGCAGGTATTGACAGAATGGTTGAAGACAAAGTGAAGCAATGCCTACCATGCCAAGCAGCAACGACAAACAGCGCAGAACGTCCTGAGCCACTGAAGATGACACCGTTACCTTCCGCTCCATGGATAGAAGTTGCTGTAGATTTCACTGGCCCATACGCATCCAGTGAATGCTTACTTGTTGTCGTTGACGAGTAAAGCAGATTCCCAGAAGTCGAGATTGTGAGTTCTACTTCAGCCAGAGCAACCATTCCAAAGCTGGATGCAATCTTTGCTCGGCAAGGAATTCCTGACATAGTCAAGACAGACAACGGTCCCCCATTTCATGGACATGAGTTTGCAAAATTTACATCATATCTTGATTTACTCATCGACGAGTCACCCCACTATGGCCAAGAGCCAACGGAGAAGTAGAGCTACAAACAGAACACTAGGAAAAGTCATACGCATCGCAGGTGTAAGCTGGAAACAACAGTTACATAAACTCCTTCGCCAGTACAGAGCTACTCCTCATTCCTCAACAAACCTATCCCCCAGCGAAGCACTCAACTCTAGAAAGCTGAAATGTGAGCTACCAGAGATCCAGTCTCCCTTGCGCCCATACAGTCACGGTGACTCCTTGCGAGAACGAGATGCCCAGCAGAAATGGAAATTAAAACACTTGCTGACACTTGCCTCTTTGCCAAACCGTCAAACATCCAGACAGGAGACGTAGTCCTTGTGCGTCAACCCAAACAGTCCAAACACACCTCACCATTCAACTCCAAACCCTTCCAAGTCACGATGAGAAGAGGAAACATGGTGGAAGCCACAAGAGGAGACAGAGTAACCAGACGAAATCTCTCTCACTTCAAAAAGATCCAAGCCCCACCCCCTGACCCCCACACCCCAGAAGATGACCACAGTGATGACCACATAGACGACATATCCTTAGTCACTGATCCACAGCCATCCCAAGATCCTCAATCTCTCATCAAACCTCCAGCAGTTCTTGAGGATAGTTCTAAACTGAAGTCCAGTCTTCGTCAATCCACACGAGTTCGCAAGCCTCCAGTGCGATTCAAGGACTACATGTATGTTCAGTGAACTCTGTGCAGATCACAATTTATTTGCTCATTTGAATCAAACCCATACTAACTAGTCAACCACAATAATAGTCCAAATCACACTCTCAGTCAAGTTTAGACAAAACCTTCTGAAGTTTCAAGGTTTCAAAGTTTGACAGTTGTAAAGTTCAAAATTTTAAAGTTGAAAGTTTCCAAGAAATAAAAAGGAATGTTGAGTTGTGTTAAAAAAAAACCACTCAAACGAACAAAAAGAGAGTCAAAAAAAGAACTTACTACAAAAAATAAGTTTGTTCGTGTAAAAACAAAAAGAACAAGAAGAGAAAGTCTCAAGTTTTATAAGTTTGTTAAAAAAAAAATAAAGAGAAAAGAAAGAATTTCAAGCACTCAAATTAAAGGAGACAACTTATTCTTATTTTGAAAATTTTATTTCATTTTATTTCTTCCAAACTTATCTCACTCGACCTTTAGTGCTCAATATAAAAACGATCTTAAATGTTTCAACAGACTCAGTTTACTCCAGCAGAAACCCTATTTTGCAACTTTTCATTTAAATCATTCACTGGCACAGTTTTCCAAGTTTAAGTGTTGTAACCACTTATATCCAAAGAAAGAGGGTGAACGTAGTGTAGTTGAACAGCGCCCTCTGTTGTATGTCTTGGACCAGGCAGCTGTATCACATGCGATCCTGAATAAAACAGTTACTCTCAAATCTGTGTCCATATTCCGTACCAAACATCACAGTTTCAGCAACGAGGACAAGCCTGTTTAGGATCAGACACTCGAACATGATCAAAACCAGTATATGGGTTCCTGTCAGTACCATTACCTGTGGCCTCCAAAGCCTGCAGCGAACTAGTTAATGAGGCTTCAAGAATCAAAGTGTATGCGGTGCAAGACATGCATGCAGCGCCTTGCTAATTGCAATAAACTCTACGGTTGCAACTGTGAGAATTAGGCCGAGCATTTTAAACTGTAAATTTTTGTGAGTGATCGAACATTTTTTTTCACATAATGTTGTTTTACTTATACTTCATACAGTATTTTCGGTGACTGCAGTATATATCAACGGTATTGTGTTAGAGATTTTCAATTTTTTTTCTACAGATCGACGCGTTCGATAATCGACGCGCGAAGGCGCGACGCCATGTTGTGGGACAGGCGTATATCAATTCACGCACATTTTGTCCCATAACATGGCGTCGCTCACCTTAGCGCGTCAATTATCGAACGCGTCTGCAAGCGGTCTATTAGGTAAAATCGAAGATTGCCACAATAGTGTACAAACCGACCATTTGACACTGCATGTCATAAATGGTATTGTTGCATTCCTTGACCATGAAAATGTATGTTTGGACGCCAAAACTTTAATCCTAAGTGGCTTAGAAGAACAGATAGCCTATTGGGTAAATATAGGTTTTCAATGGCGGCCTTCTTTAAAATCCAAGATGGCCACCATGCACAATGTATCTGGATAAATAACCATTTAGCACTAACCCAAATGGTTCAGTTGCATTTTTTGACCCTGGAATTATAAGTTAGACGCTAAGATTTCAGTGTTAAGTAGTTTTCAATGCCATCGGCTATGCATCTTCAAAAATAAGATGGCAACAATATAGTCGGGACAAACAAACCATTTGACACTATCCCAAATTGTACAGTTGCATTCCTTGACCCTGAAAATGTAGACACCAAAACTTTAAACCTAAGTGGCTTATATGAGATATGGGTAAAAATAAGTTTTCAATGGTAGCCATTTTTAAAATCCAAGATGGCCGCCATATTGGATAAGTTAGTTCCTATCAAAAATTAAAAGATAAGGTAATGTACAGAGCATGTACATGCACGTATGGACAGTTTGGCGCTTTTGTCCGGAATGTCCGCATCCATTCCAAAAGCTGGCCTAAGGCCCCCCCCCCCCCCAAAGTCTCCAGTTTCTGGTATGCGCGCGCGTTTGTCTCAAAACCGCCCAACTCACTGGTTTGACTGGAATTGTGCTGCTGCACAAATTTTATGCGTTATATAGATGGGGTAATGATCGAGTATAAGCTTTATGTGGCCTCTCTGGGCTCCCATATATTTTGCACTAAATTTAGTCTGGCACCATTTGCAGTCATAAGCCGACATTGAAGAAAAAAAAGTGAAACAAAAAGGCGTGTCGCCGCACCACTTTTTTTTCGTTGGTCTAAGCTGCCTGACTACTAGTTCACTTCAGTTATAATGTTGTTTTTCTGTTGTTATTGTTGTCTCTATTAAAAGGGCTGTTTCTTACAATTAAGCCTCGACCTATACTCTAACACAATAACAGCCCCATACTCCTTATTTTAAAGTTTAACTTTAAAACTTTAAAGCATATTTTACTTTTATTTTGTTTTTGTTTGACATATTATTTATTGAATTTGTTATCTTGCTATGTACCAGATTTCTTTTATTTATTGATGTATTTCTCTAAAGGAGTATGAAATAAATGTCTTGAATTGAATTGAATTGAATACATCGTATGCACACCACGGATCCTTCGGTGCACAATGATTAGCATGCACGACGCTGTTATGCACTTCATGATACGTACTATGTGTTCCCAATATTGCGTACGTTTATATACTGGCATGACAGGTATACACAAAAGTTCTGAAGTAGTGCACTTGGGCAAGACACTCGATAACTCATTGCTTCTTCCAGTCCAGGAAGAAAGGGGTATCTGTGGGCAGAGCTTGTGTGTTTGATTTAGTCAGTGTATGGCAGCATTGAGCTTAGATGGTCTTTGGATCATTTTTATTGGCTGTACCAGCTGGGATAATAATATATATGTTCTTTGTTTTCTTTGATTTCCTTTAGACCCCCATGACTTGGTCTTTGTGACCGATCTGATTCCTCCAGGGATTTATGTCGCACCCACGGACACCTTTAACTTCACCCTCATCCCGGGTTTAGACGGTAGTCATGACAACATAAGTCAACCCGCCGCCATTGACTATGACCCAGAAGAGCGCATGGTGTATTGGACTGATTGGGAATTGTCGACTGTAAATCGTGCCTTTTTGGATGGGAGTGGAGTGGAAGTTCTCTTTAGGGATCTACAGAGTAAGCCAGTGTTGTTGACTCGAGTCGCTGACTCGGACTCGAGTCGGACTTGAGTCGCTATTTTTCCGACTTGAGACTAATTGACTTGACTGGGAAAAAAATGACTTGAGACTTGACTTGACTTGACAAAGAAAGACTCATGACTTGACTTGACTTGACAAAATTGACATTAACAAAATAGTTTTGTCATAGTTACAAAAAACTTTTTTGGTGCACCCTTATTATCGGGTGATGACTGATTGAAACTTGACTGGAGAGAAGTCCGTAAATCCCACCGCGCACCGAGCTGAGCTTGGACGGACTACTCAACGCGGAACCTGGCGCGCGCTTTGTGCTTGCCATGCGTGGTTTTGTGCATAGTCTGATCACTCTCCGTTAACATACATGTACATGTATCTTCAACATTGCTTCATATCGTTTAAATGCTGTGTACTTATAACATGTTGCAAAAGGTTTTAATGACTGGAACAATGACTATGATTTAAGTAAGATTTGAGGCTTTGCATGGTGGAGATACTAAATAATGAAAGGTTTGCGGAAACACCATGTGCGAATAATTTCTCAACTAAGAGAAAGGTTCTGAAAAGAACCAGAGGTATAAACTCAACATTCCGGTCAGTATGCTCTGACCGTCTTCAGGAGAGACTGAAGACGGTCAGAGCATGGAGGAAGGAACATTGTGTTCCTTCCTCCATGGTCAGAGCATACTGACCGGAACGTCGAGTTTATACCTCTGGTTCTTTTCAGAACCTTTCTCTTAGTTGAGAAATTATTCGCACATGGTGTTTCCGCAACCTTTCATTATTGACTATGATATAGTTTATGAGAGGCAAGAATTAACATCACAAAGCAAAAAAACGCTTTGGAAATGGTTTGTTTAACTCCTTCAAAAAATCACTATGTTTTTCAAAAGAATTTAAAAACTGATAATGAATTCTCTAAAGACATTTTGCTCAACAAAAAATGTGTATGGAAAAAGAATGTTTTATAAGTATGAAAACTGTACCTAAATTCTCCTAACATGATGAACACTTCGACACTTGCACATGTAAACTGGTTCCCTTACATCTTCCCGCCCTACACCGCATGTTAGCGACTATTCAGACGGGAACCATGCTACCGTTAGAGAAAACTAATGCCTCGAACACACATGTACATGTACATGTACGTACGTCATGTACGTACGTTACCGCGTGGCTAGGCTTCGTGCGTTAACATGTCTGATATACATAACTGTGTAATACGTTTAAAATTGACTCGGGACTTGAGTTCTGACATGAAAATTTGGCAAGTTAATAATTGAAAAAAAAAATTGACTTGAAACTTGTAAAAATTTGACTTGTGACTTGACTTGATGACTTGGGAAAAATTGACTTGTGACTTGACTTGACTTGGGAAAAAATGACTTGGTTACAACACTGGAGTAAGCCACCATGGCATTTTGTGTGTTTGTGATGGTCCCAGAGGACAGCGTATTGCCCTCATTGTGCCTATAATGAACATCATGATCCCTTAAATTTTCATTAAAAGTCCACTTCTCCGTGAAAAGAATCTTTAAGAGACTGTTTCACGGACATTTACATGGGGCTTATAGGACTAATCCCGTAAGGGTGTTTTCACGTTTTTTTAATGACCCTGCCCAGGCCACTGAGGATTGTCATTGCTAGTACACTGGGTCTATCTCCGTGGGTAAACAAAGGACTTTCTTAAGGGTGTTTTCACGGACTCCTTATCTGGCTTAATATGTAGAAAAATCTGTGAAAATTTTGTTAACTGTAGTTTCAAGGGAAAATGACTCTTTAACAAATTTTTAAGGGATATGAAGATGTTCATAGCTGGCTGGCTGGCTGACTGACTATAACTTGTGACCTGGGTAGTGCTATCGTATAGGAGTAACCCTGTCCTGCCCAGTGTGTAGATCAATCAAATCGAATTTTGTGTACTCGCCTAGTCTTGTTTCCTATCAAATTGAGAGTTTTCTTGCCCTTTCTTTTTAGATCCAGAGGGTTTGACACTTGACATTGAGAATCGTGTGATGTATTGGACGGATAGTGGCAGTGATCTAATCGAGAGAGCTACTTTGGATGGTCGGGAACGATCAGTGGTTCTCAACTTGAGAAACGCTTCACTTGGAGCTGTACAACCAAGTGGTATTGTAGTCGACCCTGCTAACAGGTACATACATGTACATGAGGTTCAAAATACCATTGGGCCATTTCAGCTTTTGCTATTGCTGCCAACAGTTGTAGGTGGGAGGCGACTTTCAATGACTCCTGCTTCATATTTTGTTTGTTTTGCAGTCATTTGTACTGGACTGACAGGGGTACTGTACCGATGATTGAACGATCTGGCACCGATGGTTCAGGTCGTCGCGTACTCATCGATACTTCGCTACGTCATCCGTATGGTATAGCCCTTGATCTGGAAGGTAATTGTGGCAGGGCCACATAGTTAACTTGCATTAGCTTTTGGTTTTCAACATAGGAGTCCCTCCCCCTGACTTGCATACGCTTAGTTTGTGTTGTAGCCCTCTTAAGTTAATTAAGTAGAAGTTTATGACACAGTAAAATAATAGCAGTGCTGTAGGAGGATAGTAGTGTACGCCCCCTGGATAGAGTAAACATCCTGTCCAGAACAGAGACCCCCTTATCTGTGAGACCATGTGGTCCATGCCTGATTTTGCAGACTGGTAGAAGGCAGGGCAGCATCATTTAATTTTTGCTCTGCAGATTCCCTTGAAAATCTATGGCTTTTCTACCCTGAAAGTTTGGTCTGCTGCTGGATTCGGTAAGCTCAAGTTTGTGTTGTTTTGTTAACTAAGAAGTGAAAGTACATTTAATAGATAAATATTTAGTGATCCGATTGGTACTTTTGTTCTTGTGGCCTGAGATTGAAATTTTCTTGTTATACGGAGTGTGAAGTTCAAGTACACTTGGAGTTTAAGATTGATTCACAAGAGAGTTACTTTTGCGTGATGTATTTTTGTGCATTATACTACATGTATGTCGTATTCGATGGTTAGTCCCATGGTTTACAACTTTACTTTTTCGTTGTATGAGAACTTGAGAAGAAAAACAAGTGATCTTTTAAGTTTTGCACAGGTGTATTTCATCTTTTAGATAGTTGGAAGTAAATCCTTCACTTGTCATTTATTCTGTATAATGAGTCCCTACTTGTGCACATGTATGATGCATTTCTTTACTTTTCTGAAGGGACATTGCCCAGCCACAGTGTCTTATTTTTATCAGGTTGACCACCAGTTAAGATAATAGGGCTTTAGACTTTGCCTAGTCCACTGAGCAGTTGGTTGATGAAATGCTTTGTATGTTTTGTGGTAATAATTAAGGCATAGTGGTTCCCCAGTGTACGTATGCAAGAAGTGCTAAGTGACTTGTAAACTCTCTAGCTGACAGCCTGGGTGGCTGGATTTGGCCACAGAGCCTAGTAGATGACCTTGGAGATAAGCACATGGACAAGGCAAGACTCATTAGTATGCACAAGAAAGTTAGTGTTGTTACCTGGAGCACACATAACTATGCTTGTGGCAACTCAGCACTGTTGATTGTTTATGCAGTGGCCAGAAGTTCTTAATCGCATTGATAAGGATGAGTGTGTGGTATTGCCAGAATAGAGCACCTGTTTTAGGTTGGCCTAGTTATTATTAGGATTTATAATGTACTCATTTAGTTCTATACTTACTTTGCGTTTTTTTTTTTTATTATTTCTACAGGTTGTTTAAGCTGTTGTTTTCGATTGATGACCTTCTTTTGATGCTGTATTGGTTTTAATTTTAGTTGGTTTTAAATCTTAGGTCTTTATTGTTGGTTTTAATTTTAAATCTTCGTTCTAGGTTTTAGTTGTTGGTTTCTTTATTTTTTATCTGGTTTATGGTTTTTGGTTGGTTTATGGCTTGAAGTGATTGAGTTGTTTTTTTGTCTATTGGTTCGTGTCATTTTAGATTTGTTTAGTCTATTTTTGCTTCATTTATGTAGTTTCAGTTGTGATCATTATACTGAGTTTTTTAGTTCATAGCAAGTTTTTTATCTTTAGGGAAAGTCAAAGGTCATTTACATTTGTTTGGTTAGAAGAAAATCAAGGTTGGTCAAGTGTCAGGTACAAAATCGGTTGTTCTTCGAGTCTCATAATTTTATTTTTGGTTTAGTTTTTTTTTTTTAATTGTCGTTCAGGAGAAATAAATGCGTTCCAGTGATAGCTCTTGAATCTCTGTCTCTTTGCCAACTTAATTTTCCTGGCGATTTTCTAGAGATCCTAGGTCCAATTCCTTTGTTCCATTTTTCTGGGTTACATTTTTTTCTTTTAGGTGGAGAATCCGGGTACTAGTGCACTGTTTTTTTATATAACTTAGCCAGGAATTGTTAAGGTAGGACATAGAGACAGGTCATAGTTAGGGAAAACCAATACAGTGTCGAGAGTTGGGAGTATATTGATTGCAATGACGCAGACGCCGAACCAGCACCGAACAGCTCACCTGATATCGGATACCCCTCCGCAACTGACGCCCCAGACAACATACGCAGTTACTCCTGGGCTTGGTCAATCACCGAACATGGAAGGAGCACACCGTCAGTACCCACATTTGGTTCCTCCATCAGAAGGAGTGTCCCCTCTACGTCTTGCTGGTCTAGATCCACTCCACACCGCGGCAGAGCAGAGAGGACAGGGAGCTCCAAGGATGTTGACCACGCATCAGGTCAAGAGCGTGCCAACATTTAGCGGGAAGGAGCGACACGGCCCCCGACTGGAGGACTGGATCCGGGATATGCGGTTCCTCCTTGGATGCAAGGGAACAGCCCCAGGGATCCTCCAGTTTCATGAGGCTGTCAGACACACAGGAGGAAAAGCGAGAGATGTGCTGCTGAACCTTGAGAGTAGGACACCAGAGGGTCTAGACGCGGAGAAAGCCTTCGTCGAGCTGCTGGAAGAATACGGGGAAGACAAAAGTGCCCTGTCTCCCGTGGCCAAAGTTTACGCCAGGGTGCAGCGGGGAAACGAAACCCCAATGGAGTTCGCCATTGGATTGGAATCGACCTTGAGGGAGGTTGAAGAGACGAGGCGGCGCCGGGGACAGAAGTCCGAGGAAGAGAGCCGAGACAAGATGTTGGCAACCCAGTTCATGGTGGGTTTGAAGAACCTACACTACAAGCAGAGATTGGCGCCGATGCAACCGAGGTTTATGGCCTTCCGGGACGTGCGCCGGGAACTTCACATTATTGATGAAGAGGAGAGGCAGGCAGCAGACCTCAGACGACAGCAGACGTCCTTCTCAATGAGCGAGGTGGCTCAAAGCCTGCCCCAAGTTAAGGCCCAGGGTAAAGACGTAAAGGGGCCAGCCCAACCCGTGAAGGAGGTCGTCCCGGTCCCACTCGAGCCAAACGACCCCAACACTCCAATAATCCAGCAACTCATGACGCAACAACTGGAGGAGATGAAGGGGATGCATCGTGGTCAAATGGAGGCCTTGGACAGAGTTCTCCAGGAGCAACGCCAACATGGTCAACGCCTTGCACGACTAGAGGGTGCTGTTTTCCAACATCAGCCCACCCGTCAGCCCCAATCGGGCAAACCCCCATATACTGGATGTTTCAACTGTTGAGATCGCCGACATCTAGCAAGAAATTGCCCCCAGCTCAACCACAGTGAGCAACCACAGCAGCAGCAGGCCCCCACCACTCAGCCTATGTTAAACGGACAAAACCTGCGGATGTAGGGCAGTCGGCGGGTTTAACAGGGAAGAGCCCACTTAACACTAATACATATACATCCATCAATAGCCATGTGAAAGAGGACCGAACGAGTGGTGTGGAGAGGACAGCTGAGATACCAGAAGCTGGGCCTGTCAACAGAACAGAGATTGGGTTCTCTGGAATTCATTGTTTCGCATTAATAGATACAGGTTCGCAAGTAACCACGGTGACCAATGAATTCATCCAGAGATATCCTGAGCTCAGACTCCAACCACTCCGTACCTCCGACGTGTCCATTTTAGGAGCCGGAGGACAAGTTGTCCAACACCTAGGAGTCATAACGGTCGATGTACATGTTATGGGTCAACATATCCGAGGGGTTCCGGCCTTTGTTGTTCCGGCAACTTCGTTCCGCCTTGACACCCCTGTACTCATTGGCACCAATGTCATACGTGCCAGTCGGGACAGGATGAAGGGCTCTCATGGGTCGAAGTTCATGGAGAAAACACAACGGTTGTCCCCAAAGTGGTTCCAGGCTTTCCAGGTTGTCAATGAAGATGGGGCAGACCTTGCTAAGGAGAATGGAGACATTGGCATTTGTAGATATGCAGGCAGACATGCGCTGGACTTGTCACCTGGAGAGAAAGTTGCTGTTCAGGCATGGCTACCAAAGTCTGTGCGCAAAAGAAGTATCACTGCCATGTTAGACAACAGCCTCACTAAGGAGCTGGCAGTAGGCCGCACATTGGTTCAGGTGCAGGGCTCCAGGGTGTCAGTCCAACTCTGCAATTTGTCTGATCACCGGATGACTCTCCGGAGAAACTCAAAGGTAGCGACCCTCTCCTGCTTCAAGTTGGTCAGTCCAGCGGCAGTGCAAAATGAGAAAGAGACAGTCATCATGGAACAAGTTGCTGTCGACACCAGTCCAGTGCCAGAGGTTGATCTGCAGGGTGCTGACTTGACCCCATCTCAGAAGAAGGCTGTCGACATGCTTCTATCTCAGAATGCAGATGTGTTCTCCAAGGGGCACTTAGATGTGGGTTCGCCTACCACAGTGGAACATGAAATACCACTGAGTGACCCAACTCCATTCAGGCTCCCCTACCGGAGAATTCCCCCAGCCCAGTACCAAGCGGTAAGAAGCCACATCGAAGAGCTTAAGGAGGCGGGAATAGTTCGACATAGCCAGAGCCCTTTTGCGTCCCCCATAGTTGTGGTAGAGAAGAAGGATGGAACGATTCGCCTGTGTATCGATTATCGGAAGCTGAATTCCAGAACCACCAGGGATGCATTCCCACTCCCAAGGATTGACGAGGCCCTTGATGCCCTTGGGAAGGCAAGGTACTTTTCATGCCTAGACCTCACGTCCGGCTACCACCAGGTGAAAATGGCACCAAAGGACCAGCAGAAGACAGCGTTCACGTCTCCCATGGGGTTGTATGAGTATACCCGCATGCCCTTTGGCCTTGTTAATGCTCCAGCTACGTTCCAAAGGTTAATGTCCACTGTATTTGGTGACATGACTTTCGAGAGTCTCCTCATATACCTTGATGATATAGTGGTTTTCAGCAGCACCATAGAGGAACACATGGAACGTCTAGGCAAGGTCTTTGCTCGGCTGAGAGAACATGGACTAAAGTTGAAACCCTCTAAGTGCCAACTGTTCAGGACCGAGGTTCGATACTTAGGCCATATAGTGTCTGCCAAGGGGATTGCCACGGAT